GGTAGCTTGAGCAAAAATGTTCAAGGGGAGGGAGACGGGCTGCATTACACAAACCCCTTAAGAGGCTTCTTTTATACAGAACACTAGGAAAGCAAGGCATAAACTCAGCCTTTCTCTGGAGAGAGTAAGTACCTTCAGATGTGAAGAGGTTGCTCCCAGAGCACCACAAAGCTGGTGGGGGGTCTGGAGCACAAGTCTTATGAGGAGTGGCTGAGGGAACTGGGGTTGTTTAGTCTGGAGAAGAGGAGGCTGAGGGGAGACCTTATCGCCCTCTACAGCTGCCTGAAAGGAGGGTGTAGTGAGGTGGGTGCTGGTCTCTTCTCCCTGGTAACGGGTGATAGGACGAGGGGAAATGGTCTGAAGTTGTACCAGGGCAGGTTTAGGTTGGACATTAGGAAAAATTTCTTCACAGAAAGGGTTGTCAGGCACTGGAATGGGCTGCCCAGGGCAGTGGTTGAGTCCCTATCCCTGGAGGTATTTAAAAGGTGGGTAGACGAGGTGTTTAGGGACATGGTTTAGTGGTGGAATGGCAGGGTTAGGTTAATGGTTGGACTTGATGATCTTAAAGGTCTTTCCAACCTAAACAATTCTATGATTCTATGAAGGCAGGTGGGCCTAACAAAAGGTCACACATGACCAACATGGGTGGAACTTTCTGTTGACTGGTCTGTACAATTTTAAGAAGACTCCACTCAACATTTTTAACCCTTTTTCTCTTCAGGTCACTTTTTCATGAAGGCAGAAAAATATACCCCTGCAACTAAAGCAGTTTACTTGCCAAATTTGAAAGCTGTTTTCTCAAACCAGAGAGATGCTAGAGGCTGTTCAGTGAAATGGTTATGTTTATAATGGACAAAAACATGTATTTTATGTTGGTAATGGACAAAACCGTGTATTCTCCCCTAAATTCATCCTTGTAGTTGGCTTGATTGTTGTAAATGGAACTTTGTAAAAACACAGCAAACAAATCATAATACAAAACAAAACCACCAAAACAAGCTAAAATAAAACAGCTGGAAGCAGACACCCAACAGGGGGAATTTCAGCTCAGACTGGCAGTTCTGAACAACTGAAAACTAGAATAGAAAGAGCTTGGCAACATTAACACTAGCTTTGCTGCTAGCACTGTTACACCTCACTGTTGGGACTAAGGGGTTTGATGTATCATGCTACCAACAAACTAATTTAATGAATTCTCCTCCCGCGGGAGACTACCTGTGCTGTAAAACACAGCAACCATTTCACATCAGGCAATAGTTTAAGTAATAGCTTACGGAAAAAAATACCAAGTACTTTTTGTAATTGAAAATGGAAGGGAACATAACAAGCAGCATATAATTACGTGAATTTAAATTTAGCCCAGACTTCAGGGTTATGCAGTCTACTTTTGCTAGAATTATCATTGAACCAGTAACCACAACTGGTCATTATCCTAGAGGTGCCAAAAGATGCTTTGGAGCCCCCTCAAATAGAATTGCATGGGTCTGCTCCATTTAATCCACTGTTTATTTTACTGTGCTTTTCAAGAGTCACAAGTCTCAGAATACTTCATAAAGAAATCCAAGATTTCTGGATTTCAGCTGATGAATCTGCTTTTGGTTTGCATTTTGGAGCTGTCCTGCCCTCAAGTGTCCTATGCTTGTTTTCCAAAGTTGCTGTACCTTCAGTCTTCCTTCCCACAGACGCTGGTGAGATAAGGAGAGCAGTTCTGTTTTCCACCGGGCAGACAGACTTGGACAGCCTGCATTGAGTGGGTTTGTCACAGCAGTTAAACGCTAACAGAAAAAACAAATGGAATGTTAGGAGTGGAAACTAAATACGTTAACCCTAATGAGAGCACTGATTCGCTTTCCAGCAAGCTTTTTGGAGCGGAAAACTCCCACACCTTTAAGCAAAGAAATCTAAAGGAAACACAAGATTTTGGCAGGGATTTTCAAATGACCCCTGAAGAAGGCAGGTATCCAAGTCCCATCAAACAGCATTGTGTGTCTCTCCCTGCTGTGGCCATGTTTATGCTCAGACTGCTTATGGGAACAAGGGAAGCGTGGGGAATGTCACAGGCAGGCACCCCCAAATTAACAAAGGACACATCCTGTGCTGGTCAAGAACGGTTCACTTGAGAGAAAGCTTAAGAAATACTGTGGAGGGTGACAAAACATAGATAAAAATAGCCTGTAGTGGAATAGCTCCAGCAAACAGGGCTAAGCAGAGAGGAAGTCTAGGTGTTAAAATAACCACGTCAAGCAGTTTCATAAATTAGCTACGTGTGTAGTCTTGGGGTTTGCACCTGTTGGTTTCCCCCATGCATCCTCTCACCTGACTTCATCCAGGCAACCCTCAACATTTGAAAGATGCGGGTGAGAAGAAGAGGACCCGCCCCAGGTGAGGGGCAGTGGGCACAGGGTGCCTGGCGGAGCAACGAGCGCCTGTTGCTGGGCCGCAGGGTGCCTCTGGGGTGGGGTGGGGCAGGGCCGCAGGGTGTCTCTGGGATGGTGCAGGGTTGCAAGGCATCTCTGGGGCGGTGCAGGGTCGCAGGGTGTCTGTCTCTGGGGCGGTGCAGGGTCTCAGGGTGTCTCTGGGGGGGTGCTGGGTCGCAGGCAGGGTGTCTCTGGGGCGGTGCAGGGCCGCAGGGTGTCTCTGGGGGGGTGCTGGGTCGCAGGCAGGGTGTCTCTGGGGCGGTGCAGGGCCGCAGGGTGTCTCTGGGGGGGTGCTGGGTCGCAGGCAGGGTGTCTCTGGGGCGGTGCAGGGCCGCAGGGTGTCTCTGGGGTGGTGCAGGCAGGAGGCCCTCGCCCCAGCCCCTGCCCAGGCCTCCGTGGGACGCGCGCCCTGTGGGGACACGCAGCTCTGCAGACATGAGTCTGGTTCATGAGTTCTTCCACCCCTAACGTGGCAGGGCAGGATTTTTTAGGTGTAAAAGGCTAAAAGGAAGCCACCAGAAGGAAGGGATGTCACACCAGAAGGAAGGGATGTCATCCAAAGAGACCTGGACAGGCTAGAGAGGTGGGCCTGTGTGAACCTCATGAGGTTCAACGAGGCCAAGTGCAAGGTCCTGCACCTGGGTTGGG